GGTTGGAGATGGGTGTACTCACTGACCCTCCAACAGAATGTGGAGTGGGTGTACTCAGCGGCTCTCTAACAGAGTTTGAGGTGAGTGTACCAATTGGCTCACTAGCAAAGTTTAGGGTAGGTGCACTAACTGGCTTCCCAACAGAGTTTGAGTTAGGTGTACTAACTGGCTCCCACTCATTGGAGTTTGAGGTAAAGCAGTAAGCTCAGTATAGGGAGTGCACATGTATGTATATCACTATGTATGTATATCCTTACCAGAAGGGGGAGGGTGGCAGGTCTCAGGCATGCAATACAGAGCAAGCTGAACAAGGCCAGTACTAACACACAGTTGACTGAGACAACTCAAGGACCCTCCCACTGGCAGCTGACTATTCAACCTGGGTAACACTGTCTCACAGATAGCTTCAGGACTAGGGACTGGTGAGGAGCTCTACAGAGACCACAAAAAGATAATTGACCCAATCAGCCTGCCATCATTTATCTACTACCTATTGACCCCCAGACATTTACTGACCCTGAGCAGTTTTTTTTTACCCTAAGCAGTTTTTTTTACCCCTTGGATAGTTCCATCAAACCTTGGGGGTCAATATTGATCACTTTGGGGAACCCAAATGTAATGGAAATGCAAATTGTCCTTTTATAGCACTGGGATTGGTGTTATTATTATATACAGCATATATACCATTATATACAGTATATAGTACAGTTTATAGTACTGTATAATACAGTATATAGTACTGTGCCAAAAAGACAAGATGCTTTTGAAAACAAGAAAAATTATATTTTTTAAAATCAATTAACAACCCAAGAAAAAAAAAAAAAATCACTCAATATTTGGTGTGACCATCCTTTGTCTTTAAAATAGCATTAATTCTCCCAGGTATACTTACACACAGTTAAAGATTTTACAAGCATATAATCCCTGCATGATTAAGCATTTACACCAGATAGGGGTTTATGATCAACAAGATACCATGTAGGGTAAAATACAATTATTTAAACAAAAAGAATCAGCTGTGTAGCTGAGTGAGAAAAAGCTGTGACAAGACACAGGGTGGTCTTACTGCATCAACAAAGTAACTGGTACCTAACAGGCAACATATTCAAGAATTGTCTGGACAGAAGTGGTCTTTCTGGAAGACTTTCATTTAAAAACCCATTTGTATGATGTGGAAACAAGACCTATGCATGAAAAAACAAGAACTTGTGTGCGGAAAAATGGCAGCAGGTATTCTAGGCTGATCAGTCCAAATTTGGAATATTTGGCTGTAAGTGAAGGCAGTTTTTTTGCAAATGATGCAAAGATGCATTTCTGCAGACAACAGTAAAACATAGTGCGGGTTCTTTGCAATTTTGGGGTTGCATCTCTGCACATGGAGTTAGCAATGTAATAAGAATGCTTAAAAATACAGGCAGATACTTCCTCTTTCAATACTATCAGGGAGGCATCAGCAGGACAACGAACCCTGACAACCAGTAAAGTCAGAAAAAGTACTAAGAATAAAGAACTTATGTTCAGCGAAATATAGAACCCTAGAAGTGATCTCAACATCACTGAGCCTGTCTGTGATTGCATCAAAAGAGACCAAAGCAACTGAGACAGACTAAATCCACTAAAGAAATGTGGTTAGTTCTCATAGATGTTTGGAACAACCTACCTGAATTCCATAAAAACCTGTTTAAAAGAGGTTCAGGAATTAAAGAAGTTCAGAAGTACAGGAATTAAAAAAAACAAAACAAACAATCATACTCACCTAGGTGGATGCAGCACTGATCCAAGCTGCAGCTGCCCCCCACCAACTCTAAGACAGAGAACTGAGCACTCAAAGACTGCTGATTGCTCAGTTCTTGGTATTCAGCCTGCAGAGAGCTCATGACTGTCAGTCACCAGCTCCATTCTCTGCCCCACCAGCACTCCAGAGCACCGGACTGTGGAGGGGGCGGGAGCGACTGGCTGAGGCTATCAGCAGCTCACCGAGAGGCTGAGCCAGCTACCAGTCTAAGCATCTGTAAGGATTCCAACTTTAGAGTCAGGATCGATGCAGACCCTGGACCGGATGAGTGACATCAGTCAACAGCAGATTTTAGCCCACTGTTGGCTGAAAATGGGTCACAGGTGTGCATAATGAAGTGCACTATTGTGATCCATAGGAGAACTATGGCCAAAGGAGCTTTGGCTCTACTTCTCCTTTACGTTTATCTAGGAAAATTGATGCTGCTTTAAAATCAAAGGGTAGACACACCAAATATGGTTTTGATTTAGGTCTTTTTATTGTCTATGCCAACCAGGGTTCCATGGGATATTAGAGTCATTCCTGTGGTTTCTAGTGGTTCCTTGAGTAGTGAGCAATGGGGAGTTGATCTTGCACTGAGCACCAATGCAAGAGGGCAATTTTCTAATAAACACCAATGTGAGGGGTCACTTTATGCTGACCACTAATGTAATGGGACACCGTAATGATTTTGTGTTAAGATTATCATCAAAAGATATTTCTCTCAACCAGTTTGAAACCAGAAAATATTTAAACAAATAATGTTTTTCTACATCAAAATACTGTATGTTTTTTACATGATAAACTGAGTATTTATTCTCTATCCTGATGTTCAAAAGTACCAGTGACATATTTGGTATTTTTCTGGTTTCAAAGCTGTTTACGTATCTGATTTGCTCTAAATGTTAAATGGACCAAAGTTATGTTACAAAAAAAAACACAACTTTTGAAGTGTCAAATGAAATATACGCATGGAGCGAATTAAATTAAAACTGTGTCATAACACCACAAAGGCTACAAAACAGTGATATTTCTCGCACAAACAGAGCCACATTCTTGACAGGAAGTTGATTAATTTGCTTACGCTTCCTTAGCTTTTACAGAAGAACTTTGGTCTAACAGAAAAACTAGATATTTGTTTAAAGTGAAATTATACTGTGTTTTCAGTGAGCAGATACTCTGGGTTTTATTTATAAGGGAGCTTTCACTAAGCAATATTTTTCTACTTTCTTCTATAAACCTAATATACAGTATATGTAGCGCTACCCCCTTCAGGGCCGCTGTGTTTCTAAATCCGCTTAATCTCCACACAGCCAGGCAACACGCATTGCATCCACAGTCAGTTGACAGTCCATGAGCTTGGGTTTTGTTATTTTACTAGGGGAAATAGATAGGGTAATAGGGATTATGAGTTGCCCAGCTTGACTGAATCAATGCACGAGGACAACTTCCTTCTTATTTACAGAAACAGATCCTGGACTGTTCTTTTCCTGAAAAGCCGTCATTCATTATGGATCAGTAGCAACAGCCCCTTTTGGGCTAGGAACACACAGCCCCTCCGAAATTTAGCTTAGCTTGTTAGAAACTACATACAGAGATGTCTCCTCTCCCCTGAAGAACTGTTCTCAGCCTGCAGACACTAACAGCCCTGAAGATCTCCCAGGACAAGGATAAAGGATTAGGCAGAGCGCTGTCCATTGAAAGCTTGCTACATGTGGTAGACTCTCCCCTGGTGACTCCTTGGGTTTGCTGATGTGCTCACATTGCTCCCAGGCCTTGATCCTGTTCATGCCGTGATGCTGAATGGACCCTCCTGAGCCATCTCAAGCCCAGCCTGGAGGCCAGCCCCCCCTAGACCTAAGGGATCCCCCCAGGCCACTGACAGTCTCCTCAGCACTCCATCTTTCACCTGACTCCCCTTCCAGCCTGACTATCCCATATTTATGGTTTGGTCCAACCACTCTACCAGTGCTTCCAAACCTGGGATTGGTTAGACTCCCATAAAAATGCAGATTAGGTATCCACCCCTTCTGTCCACTGGCTTTTGGTAGGTTCCATGATCCTCTAGAACTAGGTGGAGACGACAGAGTCTCAACCTGTTCAGCCATCCAGCCTGACCTGCAGTAACCCAACCTAATTTACAGACTCACACAGCTACCATGAGCCATACACAATAAATTTTCCAACACTACCCTAGTACCACACTAGAGGGTGCTAATTATACCTTGTTGATGCATGTGCAAAAGGAATTGTAACCATTTTCTTTAAAGGGGAATTTCCGTCCAATAAAATAGTTGTCCAGCCCCTCCTCTCCACCACCATCTTTAAGTGCCTCCTGTGTGGGTAGATGCGTTGAAGGGCACTGTCAGGTCTTTGTGACCCAGCAGAAATCTTTGGTACATCTGCACATCCATGGGTTCCCACTCCTGGTGATTTCTTTAGGCTGCCTTACAGGTGGTTAAGCCATGTGTACGCATGCGCAGAAATGCAACTGCAGGGGTGCAGATATGTTGCTGGGTCCCCTGTCAGTTCCAATACCTGTCAGGGAGTGGTGTCACATTTACGCATGCACAGAATTTTATGGTGTGCTGGCATCCCTTAGCAATACTCTGCCTCCTGGGTTGTCTGAAGTAGATATCCCAGCAGGCAGTGGGGGGTGTGCATCATTATATCATTCTTGTCTAGGGGAGAAAGGGGGAAGTGCTGGACTTTGCAGAAGTGAGGTAACAATCACTGATTATGGAAGAAGGATGAGGGGGCAGACAAGAGGAAATAATTATTTTTAACCACTCGCCCTCCAGTGGATTTAACCCCCTTCCCTACCTGGCCCTTTTCTGCAATACGGCACTGCATTACTTTAACTGACAATTGCGCAGTCATGCCACACTGTACATAAATCAAATTTATGTAATTTTTTCCCCACAAATAGAGCTTTTTTTCGGTGGTATTTGATCCTGTCTGTGTTTTTTTATTTTTTTGTGCTATAAACAAAAATTTTGAAAAAAAACTATATTTTTTACTTTTTGCTATAAAACATATTCAACAAAAAAAAATTTTTTTAAATAAAATTTCTTCATAAATTTAGGCCAAAATGTATTCTGCTACGTCTTTGCTAAAAAAAATCCCAATAATTGTATACTAATTGGTTTACGTGAAAATTTTAGCGTCTACAAATGATGGTATATATACTTGAATTTTTATTTTTATTTTTTTTATACTAGTAACTTATTGCGGGACTGGGTATTCTGACACTGGGTGGGAACTGACTAACTAACACTGACATCTCCAGTGACACTAATACAGTGGTCAGTGCTAATAAAAAGCACTGACACTGTACTGATGACACTGGGCAGGAAGGGATTAACATTTGGGGTAATCAAAGGGTTAACTGTGTGCTGTGTGTATTTTACATCGTGTGCTGTGTGCTGTTTTACTTGGGAGACATGCTGCTTTGTATCTCTCTGATGTGCAGAGAGATACAAAGCAGCATGTCTATGCTGACAGAAGAGAGAGATCTGTGTTGTTTACACACGTCTCTCCACTGTCAGCTTCTGCCAACAATCACCGAGTGCTGGCCAGGAATCGCTGGCCGGGACCTGGTGATTGACATCCCCAACTGCGAATAGCATCTCAGGTAGGGCGGCACGCGCGTGCGCCTCCTACCCGGACATGAAAATTACATAGAGCTTACAATCTAGGAGAATATATATATATATATATATATATATATATATATATATATGATTTTGCACAGCCATGCCGCCCTTTAGCAGTACTTCTGCTATAGAGCAGATGGCAAGTGGTTAAGAATGAGGGTCTGCTTAAACTGTATGTAAGCCCTAACAATGAACTTTTAATTGCTTCTTCTGATCTGTTAATTATACCATGGAAAGTGTCTTTTTTTTATATCTGTTTAATAAGTGCAAAAAATACCTGTTGTTACGGTCAGAAACACAATGATTTCTGACCATAACAAGAGGAAGTCTTGTATGGATGCAACTAGTCAGGCCAGAGGAGCTAAGTGACCACATCATGCAGGGTGCCATCTTGGATTCCTATTCACTGGCTTCTACTTAGAGTTGGTTGCTGTTATGCTGATGTCATTTAAAAGAAACAGTATGTGAGTGCATTTTTTTCTTTGTGTCAATAAATAATACGGTTTCACATTATGAAGAGTTATTCTGCTTCTATCCTATGAGTGTTTAAAGAGAAAATTTCTCTAACTTCTTGGAGAAGGATCTGAACTGGGCAAGAGGGATAGATTTAAAGTGCTGTTTGACCTCTTTTATGTTTATGTTGGTTTCAACATAATTGGATGGAGTAAAGGATTATGGTGGAGATTGTGCACTATTTGCAGTGAGTATATAATCAGTTGAAACTTTTGTATGGATTTTCACATGAAGATAATTATATTTGCTTTGGACATTTAATATTATTTTTACATGTGTGCAACTTGTTTGAACACTTATTCCCACTATTTGAAGTATTGGATGTGCACATGCATTATGCACATCAGAGGCGTAACTAGAACTGTCAGTGAAAGAAACCATTTACAAAGTTTCCCAGAGTTCCCAGCATTCCCAGAGCTGCCTTTACATTAGGGTTCCCCTTTACAGTGCAAGGGGGAACTCTGCGGACCCTGATGTAAAGGGGAACTCTGCAGACCCTGATGTAAAGGGGAAGTCTGTGGACCCTGATGCACTGTCCAGCACTGTCCACCCTGATGTAAAAGGGAACTCTGATAAAAGAGGTTCTCTGCTCATCAGAGCCCCTTACATCAGAGTTTGCAGAGTAACACTTTACCTCAAAGTCCACCAAGTTTCTCCTTGCACCATAAGGGTGATCTCTGCTGACCCTAATTTAAAGGGGAATGCTGAGAACTCTGATGTGGGGGGAGCTCTGGTGACCAGAGACCTCCTTATGTCATATTTCCCTTTACACCAGAGTCTGCAGAGTGAATACGCGAAGGTAAAGGAGTTCACTGATGTAAGGGGGGAGTGAGGACACTGATATAAGGCCCCCCTTACCTTAGGGTCTCCACTCCACCTTACATCAGTGACCCACCCTATAGAGTGACTGACTGGCCTGGAGCAGGGGCGGACTGACAACTCATGGGGCCCCCGGGCAATAGGGGATAATGGGGCCCCTGTTTCCTTGCCCAAACTCAAAAAAGCCTATGAAAAAGGTACCAGGGGCATCTCATGGGGCCCCCTACTGACCCCGGGCCCGAGTTTCCAAATGGTCAGTCCGCCCCTGGCCTGGAGCTGTCACACACTGACCCCCTTTAAGTCTTTCAGTGCTCCTCTCCCCCCCCAAGCCCCCTTCTTATAGTCATTTTCAAATTCAGCTAACCAGCGGCCAACATTTACATATATTTACATGGTTTATCGTATATATGACCATTACACATTGGTTGTGGTACTTGCTGGGAATTGATATTTGGGGCACGCTTCACAATATTTGTTCTTTTTATTATTATTTTGAGTGTGTGACGACTACACTTTTTTAGTGGCAGCTGCTCCTAGGTTATGTATGATTTCTTTTTTTCCACTTGTACACTTGGTGGGCTATATCAAGGTCTGCTAGTAGCATGGGGATTTCCTTTTTGAATTTCAGAAATCTAGTGAGCTTGAAAGTTTCTGCAGTGTTATCTCATACAACTTGACACTTCTAGTAGTGTGTCAGATGCTAAAGATTCTTCAGCCAAAGTGAAGTGTAAAGATCAGCGATAATTAGTGCTTTTCTTTACAGAGTACTTTTTTTTAAATTTTAGATCTAATGACAGAGTCACTTTAATTGCACCTTTATCCATAAAGCATGCTGCTTCCCATGAGTCCTTACAAAATGGCTGGTGTGAGGTCAACAAATACACTCATCTTTAAATCTGACAGGCCATACCAGCAGAAACAGATCTGACAATTCCTATTCTCAGCTCTCGGTGTCTTGTTATGTAACACAGAGTTTTAGGCTTTATGTTCTTTTGTGTTCTGCAGTGGAAAAATGTATTATCTGGGGCTTGTGTTAACCTACAGAGGAAATAGAAACACAGTGGGATATTTATTAGGAACTCAGTGAGAATCTACTGCGCCTTGCCAACTTCACAACCCTTCAACAACACAAATACCAAGCGTGACCAGTTACATTTCATCACCGCAGAAGAAGCCACGGAGAATTACTGAACCAATCCTGTGCTGAAAGAATATGTATACTGTCCTTGATACTGACCTCTCCTGAAAATGCTAGCTGACTGGCTGTCATGCTAATCCAAAGATTTCATGAAGATACTGCCTTGGATCAAGTATTCAGAAACTCGGAAAGTATGATAATCCAACTCCTCCATTACCCCAATTTTTGTGTGCACCCCCCTCACTTTATGGAAGGGAGTTAAAACAAGTAGTGAGGAAAAGCCTCTTCTTCATCTGTCAAATGATGGTGGTAACAAAAGCTGTACATGTGAACAAGCCCTTAGGGTTCATTCACACTAGTGTTCATCTCTGAAAAGAGATCCGAGGGGTATAAATCCTTCCATGGACATTAAGCAAAACATTGTGACCATGGCATGTAAACACCCATGAAAAGTGTAGCGCTAAATAAATATACAATAAAAATATATTAAATAATGAACAATATAGTGACACACTCAATCCCCTTAAAAACACACAAAAAAAGGGGATAACACACAAATTGTGCAACATGTGACTTCCCACTAAGGGAATATAACAAGTGCAAGTGGTAAATACTCCAATAGTGTATAATAATAATAGACCCTGAGGAAGTCACGTGATAACGTGACGCAACACGTCGGTAAGCGAGGAGGTATTTCCGGGTGCGCGGTGACGTTACTTCCGGTGTGGGGGCCATATTGGAACACCTTTGGATACCCATGGAGTACACCTCTAACATGAGGTGATACGGAGCTGTGCACAAGAAGGTTTACATGTGAGAGGGCAATCTATATTATATATGTTTAAATAAAAACGGATTACACTATGGAAGCTTTTTTTGTCTATCTATGATCCGGGGAGTGTCTTACTGCACTGTATGGGGCTTGGAATGAGCAGCGTTCATTTCCTTGAGGGGAGCCTGTGAGGAATCTGCCCTTATCAGGATTGGTGTTATCCTTTGAGCGAGCTGACCCTGTGGGGTCGAGATAAGGAGGTGGGGGGCCACTCAGGTCACTGGAGGATTGATCATGGATTATACACAGTCACTTGCATGATAGTTGAATTGGAGCACTTTCATCGGATTATATATAGTGTATATATATATGCACTGTGTGTGGACTGTTTTTGAGGTTTATATTATTTTTGTGAGAGTCATTGTTGTATTTTTGTGTGAGTCACTATTGGAGTATTTACCACTTGCACTTGTTATATTCCCTTAGTGGGAAGTCACACGTTGCACAATTTGTGTGCTATCCCCTTTTTTTGTGTGTTTTTAAGGGGATTGAGTGTGTCACTATATTGTTCATTATTTAATATATTTTTATTGTATATTTATTTAGTGCTACACTTTTTGTATTAATTAGTCACTTCACCTAATAGGTATAAGGTTAGTGTCAGCAGCTTTTAGGGTTAGGGCCCCATTTTAAGCGCAGGAGGATATTTCTTTATTTCTATGTGTACACCCACGGCCGCTGCCTCTGCAGCTAAAGTTGGGGGACATTAGGGGGTGGTAATGCCTAGTGCACACAATGAGAAAATTGAACCCCCCCCAAAAAATAAATTTTCTGAGTGATCGTACAATAATCTGGTCATTAGTACACAGCTTTTGAGAGCTGATCAGGACAGTTCGTGCTAAATTATGTGAAGGGACAAGTACAAAAATGTTTTTCTCGTAAGATAACAGAACGGACGATTTTTGTTTAATCAGTGCAGTATACCTCCAAAAAAATTGAGTGACCAAGCCCACGCATGCTTGGAAATGAAATAATACATTACAATATAATATATTACATCATCGAAGGAAGTTGTATTCTTTCATATGAGAATTTTTGGAACTCTAGTAAGATATGAGACTAACATGCAAAAAAAACAAAAAATGGACAATCATCTGTCCAATATTCTGATTGTGTGTGCTAGGCTAAAAATTGTGGCTCAACCGTAGGGTTTTGCCATCCCTTCCCCCCAACTCACAGGTGAATAAGCCCTTAGAATTCCTCTCAATATCTCCTAAATGATCTCTAATTGAATTTAGCCACAAATACCCAGGTGTCAACAGACAAAGGCAATAAAATATGTAAGAAATGATCACAGTTTGTTGTTGCCCCTTTCTAATCTTGCTACCCAGGCACTGGCCCAAGGATTCCATTATGGTAAGTACAGCTCTGACTGTGGTCTCTTTTACACTACGAGTATGCAGCAGCATGTCCTGGGACATGAATTCCTGGGTATCTCACCTCACTAACATCCACTCAATACTAAACAAACATATTCGGTGGACTTAAAGTGGAACTTTACTGTGCAAGGGCAACCAAACTGATAAGCGGCATGACGTAGCTCAGCTGTGAGAAAAGATTAGAGGAACTGAAGTTATTCTCTCTTGAGAAGAGGAGATTAAGGAGGGATATGATCAACATGTATAAATATGTAAGTGGTCCATAT